ATATATAAATAATAATAATAATATATTATTATATATAATAATAATATATATATATATATATATATATATATATATATATATATATATATAATATACCTTATTAATTTTAAAGTATTATAAATTATATATTAAAAATATAAAATAGAAAAAAATAAATATTAATAATAAAAAATGACTGATTGTTTAATTTGTTACAATTAAATTTAAAATTCTACTATGAAATGTGAATGTTAAATATGTATATAATGTTATAAGCTATATTTGACTTTATAAATATCAGAATTACACTTTAATATAAATTCAAATATAAGATGTCCAAATTAATAATGCCCTTAATTATATTAAATGTAAGAATATTTACTAGCCATTCCTGATTGCGAAGACTTAAACGATTAATTATTTCATAGATATTTATAATAAGATGATTCAATGAGAAATTGCCCAAAGAAAGGCTGTCATTATTATGGTTTTTTTCCCGAAAAATCTTGTTCGGATTAATTTATTTGTGAAATATGTCAAACCGAATGGAAAGACAATTATAATATAAGATTAAATGAAAGAATTTATTTATTTTTAAATAATATTCTTTTAATAAAAAATGATATTTTTACATATTTATATGAATATATAATGACAAAAGAATGTCCAAATTGTGGAATTCCAATAACCAAAAATGGAGGTTGTATGCATATGAATTGTAAAAAATGTTTATATGAATTTTGTTGGGTATGTAAATAAAATTATTCATATCATAAAAAGACTTAATGTGTGGCATATTTTTATGCCAAATATGGCATTTTATAATATAATTTGGTTAATTTTCTCGTACTTTTTAATTTACATAATGCTATTTTTAATTTTATTTATGAATTACTAGTGTATATTGGATATTCAATCGTATTTAATATTTTAGCTTTTTAATTTTATTTTCTTTTATTTTGTTGGAGAAACTATTAAATATCATAATAATATACTTAATAATGGATATAGCTAAATTTAGCTTAATAAAAGGGAAAAATCTTTCATTATGTCTATTCTTATATTCATTATATGCGTAATTTATATTTCTATTATTTACTATTTCTAAGGAAATTTCTACCATGCATTGCTTTTTATGCTTATTGAATGTTTAGGAATTTTTATTGGATATTTCATAATTAAAGTAGTTGAGTTTGCTTGGGAAACTTGGATGATGTATGTAAGATGATACTAATTATTTGTTTACTTATATAGCTTTTTTTTATATATAATAAATTTTTATTACTTTTAAAAAAATTTAATTTAATTTATTTATCTCTCCTTTTATATTATTTTAAGATATTTTATAATTTTTTATTTTTTATTTTTGCTTTGAAATATTTATTTATACACATTTCATTTTAATTAAATTATTTATGGATTTTTTTATAATTATAAATTAAAAAATTAAATTTACTTTTTATTATATATTATTTAATATAAAGATTCTTAAACAGTTAAGTTTATATAAATAAGACAATATATTTCTTAAATAAAAAAAATAGTTTTATATAATATATAAATATATTTTTTAATAAAATATTATCTTATATTTAATGAATAATATATATATATATATTTTTTTCTTTATAATTTTTTCATATAAATTTAGATTATTATTTTTTTAATATTCATATTATCTTAATTCATTTTTATAAGATATTTTTTTTATACTTTAAAAATTGATAAATATATTTTAAATAAAATAAAATTAATAACCTTTTCAATTTTTTATTTTATAAAATAATTTAATTATTTTATTCATTATAATATATAATTTTTTTATAATTATAGTGAATGATGTTAACTTATTTTCATTTATACTTATTGCACTATTATTATTTTATTTCGCTATATAAACACTTTCTTCATTTATAATTTTTAATTATAAAAACTAATATTAATTAATATTACTATTAGTATTATTTTATTAAAAAATAATATTAATTGTATATTATAATTATTTCTTTTTATTTATCCTTTTTGTTTGTATATATATATTTTTTTTTTGTATTATATATTATTTTTTAAGAAAATAATTTTTAATATTATTAATTACATTTTTAAATGATAGTTTAGTTAAATATTTAATAAAATACTATTATTATATATTTACTAAGTATCGTTAATTTTTTAAAATTGTAGTGGAATATTTAAATTAACTTTGGATAATAAATAGTTAACTAAATTAATATTTATTATGTTTGTATATTTACAATTATAGTTTATTTTATATTTAAAATTAATTTTCTAATTCAAGTTTTATTAATACTTTTGCAAATTTTAAAGATTATTGATTATAAATATAAAAATATTAAACATTAAGTATTATTAAATTAGAACTTTTTTAAATAAATTATAAATTTTTTCACTTTAATTTAAGTTATTTTTAAGATTAAGATAACTAAATTGATTTTTTATATATAATTAACTAATAAATATATATTTTTTTAATTTTTTTATAAAGTTTATTTTTCATTTGCTTATTTATATATAAAAATATTGTATTTTTATTTTTTAATATACATTAAAACTTTATTAATTATAATAATATTTTTTTTATGTATAATATAATACATATATTTAAAGATTTATTTATAAATTTTCAAAAAAATATGTATTTGATATATATAAATATTTATATTTTTAATTTTAGTTTTTTATATAAATAATAATCTCTTTAAAAATGCAAAAATAAAATATTATTACAGAAGGACTTGCATAAATTTAAAAATCATACACTGTAGTTGAAAACGGAAAAACATTTCAATCTGAAGTTTTTTATAATCCTGTATAAATATTTAACAGGGATTTAACAATATTAGTAATTAAATTATTTACTAACTACCTTAAAGAATAATGTAAAAAAAAATATATATATATATAAATAAAACAAAACAAAAAAGATAAAGAAAAATTTATAGGAGTAAATATATTAGATGCTTTATCGGCAAGTGGATTAAGAGCAATTAGATATTTAAAAGAACTTTAAGATGTTCAAAAAGTTACAGCAAATGATATTTCAGAAGCTTCTCATAGACTTATGATGGATAATTTTTTATTAAATAATTTAGATTTAAAAAAAATTGAAAGTGAAAATCATATTTATACAATTCATATCATTATTATATTTTTTTTTTGAAAATAAAAAATTAGTGACTAAATAAGATGCATTAGAATTAATGTATATTAAAAGATTTACAACTTAGAACTATGATGATAGATTTCATGTAATCGACATTGACCCTTATGGAACTGCTGCTCCATTTATTGATGCGGCTATATAAGCTTCATTAGATGACACATTATTATGTGTAACTTCTACTGATTCAAGAATATTATGTGGACCTGATACTTAAAAATGTTATTATTTATATGGGTCTTCAAGGGCTAAAGTTACTGCTTATTAAGAAGTTCTTTTATTATTTTTATGTATATTTTTTTTTTAATTTTGAGTAAAAAAAAAAAAAAAAAGAATGCTATAAGAATATTACTTTATACAATTAATAATGTCGCAAATAAATATGGAAAAAGTATAAGGCCCTTAATTTGTTATTTAACTGAATTTTATGTAAGAGTATTTCTTTTGGTAAAAACCAGTAAATAAGAATGTGGAAAATCCCTTCTTAAGCATGGTTATGCGTATTATTGTGAATTATGTAGCAATTATTCATATTAAACTTTTGGAAAATAATAAACGAAAAATGAAAATAAATGTGTTCCTGCAAAAGTATAAATTGAATAAAATGTTTGCGATTAATGTGGAGAATAATTTATTATAAGTACAAAAGCAATTATTTAATAATTTTTATTTTATTTTTTATTGAAAATAATAAGATGGACCTATTTGGCTTGATTAATTAAATGATTATGATTTTGTAAAAAAAGCTAGTAGTTTTCTAGAATAAGATGAAGAAGGTTTGAATTTGGCAACTAAGAAAAAAATATAAGGAATGCTTTATGGAATAGAATAGGTTTTTATAAATAAATAAAAAAAAGCATTTAATAAAACAAAAAAATATTAATTAGGAATTTGAAAAATAAGTGCATAAAATTCCTTTAGGATTTCATATGGAACATATATCTAAACTTATGAAATGTCCAGTTCCAAATAAAAAGGCAATTTTTTCTGCATTATAAAGCCTTGGATATTAAATTGAATAATCATATATAAATCATTAAATTTTTAAAACAAATGCTACTTCATAAGTTTTTTTTGATATTATTAGAAGTTGGGTAATTCATAATTATAATTTTTTGGTTTTATTTTTAAAAAAAGAAATTAATTTAAATTAAAAAAAAAAGAAAAAAAGTAAATAAACAAATGAAGAAGAATATTTTAGGCATTTTGAAAAAGAATAGCCAAATTATAAATTGATAATTAAAACGACAAATTGCAATCCTAATTTTAATATTAATATATAATTTAATAATAAATTTACTAAATGGCCTTAAAATCCGAAAAATTGGGGACCGGGGAAAAAAGCAGTAGTTAAAAAAGCTTTAGATTAAAACGATTAAAATATTTAAGAAGAAAATATACATTTAATGAATAAATGAAACAATAAAATATTAATAGTAAATAATAAAATTTAATTTTTAATAATAATTTAAAAAATAAAAATATGTTTTTTAATTAATATAATAAAAATAATTCATAAATTATATATTTATTTTTTATTTATAAATTAAAAAAAATATTAATTTATTTATTAAATTAATTATTTTTTTAAATTAATCATTAAATTAAATAAATATTTTTAAAATATTTATATATTAAAACTATATTATAATTTTTATTATGAAACTTATTTTTTTTTTTTGTTAAATTAAAATATATTTAATTATAATATTAAAAAACAAATATAGTAAATACTATTAAAATAATAATTTTTAAATTAATAAAATTTTTTAATTTTAAAAATTGATTATATCTAATATTTTTTAAAAATATATTTATAAATATATAAAATATTAATTATATATAATATATTTAATTTAATTATAAAATTATTAAATTATAAAACAATAAAAAAAAAAATATATATATATATATATATATTTTAATTATAATAAATACTTATTTAATTTTAAAATTAACACTTTTTCAAATAAATATATTTATAAATTTAATTTCATAATTTTTTACGCATGCATTTTTTTAATATTTATTTTTGATTTTTATAAAATTTTTCTTATAATAAAGTTGATTTAATTGTATAACTGAAATCTTCTTCCCATTCAATAAGTGGATTTTTTATTTATTATTATCTAATACAATAAAGCATTTGAAGTTAATTATCATCTATTTCAAATTCTGTAATTAAGAATCTATACATTTTTAAATAATCTTCCTTTATAAAGTAACTTTATGTACTAACATTTACATACAAATATATATTATCAAAAGTAATTATTCTTATTCTAGTTTTCTGTATTTAAGTTTTTCCATTAATAATTTAATCTAGAATTTCTTTTATGTATATAATTTATTAATCGCTATCAATAAACGTTAATAATCCGTTTCTTATAACCATTTATTTATATTATTATTTACTTGTGCCAAGTAATAAAATAAACTATGAACTTAGTGAAACTTCCTTATAAACTGAATCACCAGTTAAAAAATCTGTTTTAATAATTGATAAATAGAATATTTTTTTTAATTAATATAAGAATCCAATAGTTATTATTTATATGGTAAAAAATTTTGCAAGACAATTTCCTCATATTTTTCTATATTATGTTTTAAATTATTTTACTGAATATAATTTACAGTTAAGTTAACTAGATTATCATACTTTTCTAATAAGTCTCCTAATACTTTGAAATTCATTTATTATTTATTGTATAATAAATTCCTTAAAATACTTGTCTCCCTTAAAGGTTTTTAAATTTATGTTATTTAAAGTTAAATATATCCTTTTAATATTTGTACTTAATTTATGTTCATAAAATTATTCCAAGAAGCAATTTTATTATATCTTATGTCTTATTATTATGCTGGTTCAACACAAAAACAACCGTAAAGAAACTAAACATAACTTTAAGGTTATGGAAATTATAGAATATTCTAAATTTAGTAAGTTGCTTATTTTCTTTGTTCTTTTTTTATTAAATATTTTGAAAGTTTCGTATATTATCTTTTTGCTCTTTATACTTAATTATTTTGCAATTATCTTTCTTATTAATTTTCACAGCTATCTTAATTATTAAATTAGTTTTCTTATACCAAATACTATAAATTACTATTTAAATAATTCATTATAAAGATAGTATTTTCTTTTTGTATTTTAAATATATATTTTTATATTTTTTAATTATTTAGAAAAATATCGATCTTTTTTATCTTATAATGTTATTTTTTAAAATATTATTTTTCTTAATTTTTTTTTTTATAAAAATCAATATTTATTTTAATTTCTTAAAGTTTTATTATTTTTTTTAATATATAAATATAATATATTTTTTATTTTGTTTGAAATGTTTTTTATTTTTATTTTAAAAGTTTATTTAAAGAATTGTAAAAATACATAATCTTCAGTATAGTTTTTTTATATTAAATAAAAATATTATAAAATATGAAATTTATTTGAAAATAAAATAATTTTTTTCTTTGTTTGTTTAAAATATAATTTATTTTTTAAAAGTATATTTTAAAATGCTTTTAAAATAAAAAAAATTATAGTTATAATATCATACTTAAAAAGATAAATCAAAATAATAAATATAAATAATAAATAATTGTATTTATTTTTCAAAATTATTTATAGCTTCAATTTATTAAAAATAATTTAATTTAACTTTTTTTTAACTTTACTTTAGAATTTTGATTTATTTTGTTAACTTTTTAATAAATAAGTAAATTTTTAATCATATTTTTTCATTAAAATATTAGTAATTCTTTTATTTTATTTTTTAAAATTTTAGTATTTAGATTAAAAAACATGTTTTATTAGAAAAAATGTTCTTTTATATAAAAATTAATTATTATTTTGTTACTGAAAAAAATAATATTAAAAAAAATATTTATATAATTTAATTAATAGGATATAATTAATAATTTTAAAATAAAATAATGTATTAATTTTTATAATTAATTACATATATTTGTATAAAATGTTTTTACTTAGATTGTTATTTATTTTAACTAATATTTTGTATTACTTTTAATTAAGTTATTTAAATAGTTTTTAAGAATTAATAAACTTATTATATTAAATTGTTTGTTTTTTAATGTATAGTTAAAAAATAAAAATATATGCATTTCGTATAATATAAAAATTTTTGAATAATTTTTTAAAATAAAGCTTTTTAAATAAAAATAATATAATATATTATTTAAATATTAAAAAATATATATATATATTATAAAGATATTTATAATATCTATATTTTTTTTATGCAAATAAAAAAATATATTTAATAAATTTTCAGTATTATACAATAATTATTTCTAATTTAAAATATAATTATTTATAATTATTTTAAATCTTTTTAATATTCAATATTTTTAATTATATTATATTTTAAATTTTAATAATATTACGAATTAATAATTAATTATAAATATTATATTTATATATTTATATATTTCAATATTTTATTTTAATTTAAATAAAAAATCGTTCAATTAAATATGAATTAATATCCTTAAAATAAAACTAGTTATATTTATATCATAAAAAATCCAAATAATGGTATTTTTTATATACGCCAATTAACAATAATTCATTTTTTTAATAATTATATGTTAAAAATGAAGAAAATAAAAAGCTAAAAAAAAAATTATATGTTTTTATGATACTAAAGTACTAAAATATATATATATATAAAAAAAATATTTATCATTTTTAAATATTATCTTATTAATTAACACAAATAAAAAGTTTTATTTATTTTAAATTCAAATTAAATTGTATTTAAAATATTAAGTATTAGATAGCATTTTTTTCATATCAATATTTTTCAAAATGGTTTATAATAAATTCAATTTTGATAATTTATTGTTCTAAAAAATATGATAATAAATAATTATTTTTAATTGTATGAATTAATATATTTTATCAAAATTATTTTTTATTAATATAAAAATTAATAATAAGAAAAAATAAAATATTTGCTTTTTTAAAAAAGTAAAAAATATATAACTATATAATATTGGATATTTATTATAAATAAAAATAATATTTATTTTTAGTTAAATAATGTAATTAATTGATAATTATTTTTTAATTTATATTAATCTAACTTTTTTTTAAAAAAAATTGTTAAATATATTTATCTATTTACGTAGAAAGTAAAAATAATGAATTTATTCATTTTATAAAAAGTGGTAGTATTTAATTTGTAAAATTTTTGTAGAAAAAATATGTAGTTTATGTTTAAAAAAACTGAAAATTTAATATTTGGATTAGTTTAGATTTTTCAATAAATTTACTTATGTGGAATGTGTATCTTTGAAAACAGATGCTTTTACTTATATTCTATTTGAGGATTTTATAATTTTTATGATATTTAAGAAAGCTTTGATGCCTTGAAATAAAATTCGAAAATTATTCATTAATAGAGATTTTTTTATTATTAAATTTTAAGAAAAAATGCTTTTGATAGCAGACATTTATTAAGAAGTTCTTATTTAAATTTTCAAGATATGAAAAAAGGTTTTGAAAGTAAAATTAGACAAAAATTTCGTACAAATATATATTTCATAGTAATAAGATAAGAAAAAGCAGCTGAATGCATTTATTTTAATTACACTAAAGGAATTTTGAATAAATTTATAGATTTCAATTAAAGTTTAAAAACATTTTAAAAAGTAATTAAAAAGTAGAATAAGAAAAAGGAAAGTTTATTTATAAAGTTAAGATATTAAATACTTTTTAAAAATAGAAATTTTAAAAAATAAGAAATTTAATATAATATAGATAAATAAGAAAATAAAAAAAAAAAAAAGAATTTCAATGAAAAGGAAAGAAAAATAAATTAAATTTAATTTTAGAAATGTTTTTTTAGAATTAAAATAATTCAGATTTTTATAATATAAAATACTATATATTAAAATTTAGAATTTTGACAAAAAAGAATATATATATTTAATTTTATAGAAAAAAAATATTTTATTTGTTTGTTATAAAATAGTAAGTAAAAAATATATTTTACGAATAATTATTTCATTTTTTTATTAATTTACTATTTTATTCTTTTGTTTAAAAAAATTAAATTTTATTGAATAAATTTTTATACTTTAACTAATAAGTATATTTATTTTTAAACTTTATATTTTTACATATTTCTTATATTATTTATCAATATATATTAAAAATAAATTAAATTAAATTAATATTATTTTTTTTAATTTTTTTTTTTTTTTTAATAAATAAAAAATATAATATCATTTAAATACTAATTTTACATTTTTTAATTTTTATTAATTTATACACATTTAAAAATAAAAAAAATGCCAAAACAAAACTTAATAAAAAAGCAAAAATCAACTGATAAAAAAGCACTAATAATACAATAATAAGTAAATGATGAAGATTATTAATTAAATAATATGATAATTGACAAAAATAAAGAAGAAGAAGAGAAATAAAATAATTAAGAAGAGTAAAAATATATTGAAAATGATGAAAATATCATTTAAAGGCCAAAAGTAAAATTATATATGAAAAGATGTTATAAAAATATATATAAAAAAATATATAAAAATATATATATATATATATATATATAATATATATATATATAAATATATTTATTTTTAAATAATTATTTTTACTATATAATTATAAGAAATGGGTAAATTTATTTATGGTTGATTATAAATAATGTGATGCAAAAAAATGTAGTGGAAGAAAACTATAGCGTCATAAACTATTAAAATCTATAACTCATAAACAAAAATACTTAGGAGTAGTTTTATCAGGTACTGCTTCTAAAATTGTTTCGAAAGAAGACATCGAAATAATAAAGAAGCATGGTTTATGTGTTATAGATTGTTCTTGGGACAAAAGCTATGAATGTATAAACAGATTATTAAAATGAAAGATTGTTACCTCATATGTTGGCTTGTAATCCTGTTAATTATGGAAAGCCTTTAAATTATCTTGTGTTGAGGCTTTTGCAGCAGCTTTAAATTTAATCGATTATTAAGAGTAGGCAGATTTTATTTTATCTAAATTTAAATGGGGAAAACATTTCTTTACTGTTAATTAGTAAGTTTTTTCTTATTATTAAAATTGTGATACTGCTCAATAAATATAATCGTAAGTTTAAGTATATTTAAATGATCTTAAAATTTAATCTCTTAATGCTTCTGATAAATACTAGATGCCGAATTCAGATAATTCGGATAACGAAGATGATTGTAAAAATAATTAAATTTAAGATGATAATGAAGAAAAATAGGGTGAATAAGAGGAGGAAGAAGAAGAGAAAGAATAAAAAAATAAAGAAATATAAGAAGAAAAACAATAGATTTAATAATTAAATTATTAATAAAATGATGATGATTATGAAGAAGAAGAATAAAAGACTGAATAAAAATAATAAAAAAAATATAAAAAAAATAACAATAAATATTATAAAGAATAAACTACAAAAAATAATTAATTAATAGAAAATAAAGAAATACTAAATAAAAATTGCGAAATTTTAAATGAAAATAAATAATCAAAAAAACAACAATCCGATTCTTCTTCTTTCCAAGATGATGATGATAATGATGATGATGATGACGGTGATTTGAAAATTAAAATTTCTAAAGAAGTTTAAAACTTAAAAGGGATTATTAAAACAAAATCAATGGAGGAAAATGTGCTTGTTTTGAAAAAATAAGTTAGTTTTAATGAAAAAAATTAAGTTTTAGAACTTGTTAATAATTAATAATAACAATAAATTAAAAGGCATAAATTAAAAAAAGTTAAAGATGAGAAAAAAATTATTTTTATAAGATGATGATGAAAATATTGATAGTCTTGATGATACTCATGATGATAAATGCAAAAAAGAAAATAAATAAAAAAGTAAAAAATTTAAAGAGTTCGATTAGAAAGTGTAAAAAGACTTTGTAAAAAAAGAAAAGAAAAAAGCTAAAAAATAAAAGCATGGAGAAAATTAAGAAAAATAATGAAATAAAACTATATATTTTTATTTTTTTTGGTATATATATATATATTTTAAAGTATAATTTAATTAAATTAAAAATTATTTTTTTTGGTATATATATATTGATAAAATCAAAAAAATTATATTAAATGAATTTAAAACAATATGATAAATATATAAAAAATTAAGTTCGATAATATTAAAAATAGTAAATATAGATTATATCAAAACTAAAAAAAATTAAATATTATATTTTAATTATTTATATCGTTATATCGAATGCTATATTTAAATAATATATAGGCAGCTAAATAATTTTATAAAATATGTTTTCGAAACCGCATTTATTTATGATTTTATCCTAATGTTCAAAACTTTTTTTCTTATCCTAAATATGTAATTGTATTCGCAAAGGAATAGTAACAAATTTTTAGAAAAGTTTTAATTCATAATTTTAATTACAATCAAATACAAAGCTTTTTAAGAAATAATAACTACTAGTTTCAACCAATCAAAATTAAATTTTATTAAGATAAATGCTAAAAATAATGATAATATGACATTAAAAAAATAGTAAAAATATTTATTTTATTATATTTTTTTATAAATTTTATAATATTTTTGATATATTTTTATTATTAATATATTTAAATAAAAATATAAATTTTTAATGCTAAAACAAAAAAATGAGACTAATAATTTTTTTTTTTTATTACTAAAATTAAAATATAATAAATATTAAAAAATAAATATTTATAAACTGAATAAATTTGTAAAATATTTAATAAACCTTAATATCTTTCTTTTAAGTTTTTTTTTTTATTTTCTCTCCCTTTAATACTCATTTAAATATTCGAATATCTAATGAATTCTTTAAAAAAATTTATAAAAAATCAATCATTTTTAATTTTCTATTTACTACTAATAATAAGAATTCTCTTTTCACATTCAGATTATAAATATTCAATTTTATTAAAAAAAATTGTAATACGAATTCAAAAAAAGAGTATATATATAATTATTGTAAATAAGGCCTTCTGTCTCTTCTAAAGTAAAGACAAATATCCAAGATACTGAAAATACACAAATTATATCATAACTATGAATGAAAGTTGTTCTTAATAATACATTTTAAAACTGGATTAATAATTTTATATATAAAAATCTAGAATTTATAAATAAACGATAATACTTATTCACATTCGTATTTAAAATTTTAATAATTAAAATAAATTTGATTTAAGTAAATATGTTTGTAAATTACAAAAATTATGCTTAAAAAGAGACTAGAGCATATATAAACAAAATATTTTTCAAAAAGAATTTAATTAAAATTTATATAAAAAATGTAAAAATATTGTAGTATTTTATATTAAAATAAATTTTTTATGTTAATAATATGGAAATATGCTTAGTTATGTATATAATATGTATTTATTTTTATTATATTATAAAATTATTATTTTTAAAAAGATAAAAATTTAATATATACGATATATGAGTATTTTTTTGAATTATTTTATTTTAAGAATTTTAATTATTTAATAAAGTGATAATTATAATTTTAAATTTGAAGAAAATGCAGTTTTTGTTTTAAATAAAAAGAACAAAAAACTTTAAAAATTAAAATTAGAAATTTTGTAAAAATGATAGTTTTTTTAAACCAGAATAACAAATTAAATCATAATTAAATAAAATTTTATATTTTTTTTTTAAATTTGAGATATTTTAAAAAATAAATGGTTTTAAAATAACCATATTTAATATTATTTTTATGAATTTTCATTTTTTTTTTAAAGAAATAACAATAATAATAATAATAATAATAAAAATAATAATAATAATAATAATAATAATAATATATATATATTGCTTATATAGGGTTCAAAAAGATTTATTTTCATTAAATTATTTAGAGTATAACATATTAATTATATTTTAATCTTTATATAATGATTATTTTGGGATAAACAAGTTTTATTTATTCCTTTTTGCTTGTATTTTTGTTACTTTTATTCTTTTTATTATCTTGTTTTTAAAAATTTTTTATAAAAAGCGGAATTTAAAGTTTATAATAATTAGAATCAAAAAAATTATTTAATTTATTTCTAAAACACACACGAAATAATCCGGATATTAAAAATGCAATATTTCATATATTTTTTATTTTAAAAAAAAAAGAAAAAAAGACATAAAAACTTAAATTTTTTAAGAAAAAAACGAAATTCAGAATTATAAATCAGTTTGAAATTTTTGAGTTTAATATTAATTTTTTTAAACAAATAATCCTATTATATAAAAAATATTATTAATTTCCTTTTTAATTTTTTTATTAAAAAGGAGTTTGAAATATTAAATTATAATAATCATTGTAAAGAATTCATTTTTTTTGATTATTTTTTTTTTTTCTAGTTTTAATAAATATATTAATCAGTTTTTTATTTAATTTTATTAAAATAGATACATATATAAATTTTTATATTTTTATTTTGTTTTCTATTAATTTTATTATTTTTTATAATTAATTGATAATATTTTTATATTTTATTTCATTTTTTTGTTGAAATAAATAAATAAAAAATAATTATATTTTTAATATAAAAATATAAAATTAATTTATAATAAAATCTTAATAAAAAAAAGTACTAATTTAAATAAATATCTCTATAAAAAATACATATATTTGTTTTTTTAAATAAATATACATCATATATTATTGATAATATCTTTAATGGAATTTTCATTATTAAGTAATTATTCAAAATTAACCTTCTAATCCAAAATAACTTAATCAATTTTAATACAAAGTTTGACCATTAAACTTAAAATATTTATTTCTTCCTATCTATTCTACTAATACATATTTTAGAAATTATTATATGAGAAATTAAGCTAATTTTGAATAATACTATTATCAATTGCTACATTTAAATTTTAATTAATTATCGATTATATTTAAAAAAACTCTTTATCCAATTATTTATTTAAAAACTACTCCAAATACCCATAATATTCATAGAATTTATTCGTAATAGAATCTTTATCTTATTCTAAAATATCGATAAGATTTTAGTAATTATTCAATCCTAAAAACTAATCCCAATCTTATTAATGTTATATAAAAACAGGTGCTATTTATTATTATAAGCATTATAATAATCCTTATATCCCTATTAAAGCCTTTTTTAGTAAATAATAAATATCAAATCGACAATCATTAAGGAATTAAATTTCTAATTTTTCGGCTAAATTTACTAAAAAAATAATCCGTTTCGTGCATTTATTATTTATTAATTAATATCTTTTGCACCTTATAAGTATTAATTTTAATTTTTCTATTACAATAAAAATAATTAAATAAAAAATTAAAATAATAAAAAAATACAGAATCTTAGATAATTTTTAAAATTTACGAATCTTTTTTAATAGCAGAAAAAGCTTCATGTTCATATAATTATTCTGCAGTAATTCTTAATGATCGATCTTTACAAATACTTCTTTTTAAAATATCTTAAGATTATTTCGAAATAAGATTCTCGCATTTAATAATATAAGCTTTATTACAAATTTTCTATGAAACATCAAATTAACTTGTTCCCATAAAATAAAGTTCGTTAAAAAGCATTTCATGATACATAATACCAACAGCCCATACATCTACAAGTTTATCATAAGAAGGTTCTTTAAAAAATTCAGGTGCCATATAAGGATAAGTACCTAAAGTAGTTTAATATAATTTCTTTTAACTAGCAAATCCAAAGTCACCTATTATTTAATTAAAATGTATATATATATAAGAAAAAAAAAAATTATATATTATATAAATATATATATATACCTAATTTATATACTCCATTATTTATAAAAATATTCTCTGGTTTAATATCCCTATGAACAATATCATATTTCGATAAATAATAAATACTAGAAACAATTTAAAAGAATATTCTAATTGCTTCCTATTCAGGTATTCCTTTAGAATATTTTGGTTATTTTAGTACATTTAAAAGATTTCCTTAATTGCAATATTCGAGTACAATATATATATTATTTGTAGTTTAAAAGCAGTCATATATTTTTACTATAAAAGGACATGGGTCTTCTTTTTACATCAAAGCTATTTACTAAAGAATATTTACTTCATCTCCTATTGCTTAGATTATTTCGTCGCCATATTTTTTTAAGGCTTATCTGTTTATAACCTTTATTGCTACTTCTTGACCATTATCATTGTTTGTACCTTTAAATACACTCGCAAATGAACCACTACCAAGTTGATCACTTTCTTTATATTGATATATTGTGTTATTACTACCACGAATTTATTTTTGTTCTGATGACATTTCTTATTATTAATTTTTTTTTTTATATTATTATTATTATTTTTTATATTTTTTTTAATTTGAAAAAATTATATATATTATAATAAGCTTATCAAGAATATATAAATAACTATTATTATTATTACTTTATATAAAAAAAAAAAATTAATTAATTTATAATCAATACTTATAATTCAAAATAAATAGTTTTTTACGTGTAAAAAATTTATATTAAAAATATTTTATTTCAATAAAAAAAAAGAATATCATATACATGAAATAATTTTAATTTATATTATCATTAATTATACTTTTATTATAAAAAATTACTTTTTCATAAGAATCTCATTTAATAGTTTTAAAGGATACAGATTCTGAATACATATAAGAAGATTAAAATTTAGTTTTTATTTATTTCTTAAAACTAATAAATAAAAATAAAATTTAATATATAATAGATAATAACAAACAACGGTAAAATCTATAGTTATGATATTGAAAAAAAAAAACTAAATTGGAAAAACGATTTAAAAGTGATAATAAGTGAAATAAATTTTGATAATTAAAATGATGATGAAGATAATAAATAAAAATATGATTTTTAACATGAAAATAATTAAGAAGATTATAAAACTTTCGATTATTTTTTACCTTCATCAGATGGAAATTTCGTATTTTTATCATAAAATAATGAAAAAATAGTAATTAAATAAAATATAAGATTAATTATAATTATTAATAAAAATAATTATATATATATATATATATATATTTATATATATATATATATATGTATATATATATTTATATATTTTTATTATTTTACATTTATAAATTGTAAATTAATAAAGTAAATATAAAGAGAAGAAATAGAATATGCTTTAAAAATATGCCCTATAAGTGGCAAAGAATAAAAATATATTGCACTAAATTAATAGAAAATATATTTATTAAATTTATAATCTGGATTTTTAAAAAAATTAGAAGATATAGACAATAATGAATTGGATTTTTTTGATATTAAGTTTTAAATATTGCATTTAAATATAAAAAAAATAAAATAAATAAACATATTTACCAAAAAAGAAAATTGGAGTTTAATAAGTACTGATATTAATATTATGAAATATGATGATTTTATCTTAAACGATTTGAGAAAAAACCGGGTTAAATAAAATGAAAAATATTTGTTTGTCTAAGACGAAAAGTAAAATTTAGTTATAAAATTGAGAGCAAATTTTTAACATATTATTGATTTTTAAACTGAATAAGAAATTGTTGCTATTTTTTCAATGTCTAAGTCAAAAAAATTTTATAAAAATGTTATTTTTCATCCTTATAGAGATAGTCTTATGTAAGAATTAGTCTTGTAATAAAATAATTTTGGCGATTTTGAATCTAAAGAGTTAGCTTTTTTTGATGAATTGAATTATTATTAACTTATTCCATTACAAATTCCATCCAAATTAAAAAATAAATGCCTTTAAAATAAAAAATGTAGAGATAGATTAATTTTTAATGCTAGGAAAATTAACAATGTCCAATATATATCAGAAGTGATTAAATGTATTGAGAATTTAAAAAAAGGAAACGCAATATAAAACACAATTTTTTAAGATGAAGAGGAAGAGAAAATAATAAAGGAAATAATAGAAGACAAAAATTAAATTTAAAATATTAAAATTAATTTTATGAAAGATAATTAAATTACAATTTTTTTATTAATTTTACTTATATTATTAGTCCTTTATTTAATTTTCAAAGACGAAAGAATAATTTCTTCTATGAAAGGAAAAAAGAAATAGAATTCCTAAAATGGAAAAACATAGTAAAAATAAACAGAAATAAATTAATAAATAAAATAAGTAGAATAATAATAAAATAAAATAGAACAAGAAGAATAATATTAAGAAAAAAACAAAAAAATAAATAGAAGAAAAGAAAAAAAATAATATATAAATAATTAAATAAAGAGTACTTTAAATTGATAAAAATAAGGTTTTGGGTTATGGAGCTTAAGGGACAGTAGTTTTTTCAGGGTTCTTTTAACAAAGAGAAATTGCAATAAAATAAATTTTAAAAGTAAATAAAGATCTAGCAGGTAAAGAAATAGATATGCTGATAAAACTTCAACATAAAAATATCATAAAATATTACTATTATGAAGAGATAAAAGAACACATATTACTAGGCTTAGAAAAATGCATATGTTCATTGTAAGAATTAATAAATGTAAAAAATCGCAAATATTTAAAAAGATAAGAAACAGAATAATTAAAAATAACTGAAATTCGTAAATTATTATAAGATAAAAATAATTTGAAAAAACTATTTATTGATTGCCTTGAAGGCTTAAAATATTTACATTAACAAGGAGTTTTACATAGAGATTTAAAACCTGAAAACGTACTTTTAAGTGTAAACAATGAAGTTAAATTAGCCGATTTCGGACTTTCGAAGTTTATTGAAAATTAAAATGTCTATTTTACAAATGATATAGGAACATGGGGTTGGAGGCCTATAGAATAAATAAACAATTAATAACTTTCGTATAAAAGTGACGTTTTTTCTTTAGGATGTGTTTTTTTTTATTTATATAATCAAGGGTTGCATCCTTTTGGTTAGGTTAATGAGAGAGAAATGAATATTTAAAAAAATAGATTTAATTTAGATAATGTAGATGATGAATGCTTTAAAGATTTAATTACTAATATGATTTAATAAAATGATATTTAAAGATATTCAGTATAGGAATCAATGGATCATCCTTATTTTTGGAATGTAGTAAGGAAAATTGCTTTTATTTAAGAATTTAGTGATTATATTGAAACTTATGGTATATATATTTATTATTAATATATTAAAAATTGTTGTTTAATTATAATAAATTTATTGTTTATTATTAAATATATATATAAAAATATAAATTTTTATAATATATTATTAATATTATTAAAAATTTATTAGTAAAATAAATATATCTATATATATAAATTTAATTATAAATATATAAATATATAAAAAAATATATTTAAATAAATATATATTTTTATATTGATATATGTATATATATATAATATAAATATATATTTTTATATATTTATATTTACATAGATTAAGATTAGAAAATTTCATTATTATTAGAAGAAAAGGCTTAATTAGAAAAAGTTTCATTTAAATAATGGGATAAATAAGTTGATATATCTATTTTATCTCATCCGAAATTTAATAAAAAATATAATTTTAATTCTATTAAAGATTTAATTAGAGTAATTTTATTTAATTAAAACAAAAAATATATATTTTTATAAATAAATTTTAAAATTATAAGTTAATAAGAAATAAAATAAATCATTATCACGAATTATAAGAAAATACTAAACAAATAGTTGGAAAAACTCAAGAAGAAATATTTAATTATTTCGATATGAAAATTCCTAAATTATTTATTTTTATGTATTATTTTTGCTTAAAATAAAACTGGAAATTACTTAATTTGTAAAAATAATGAAGAAAAAATAAATAAAATTAATTTTTATTTTTTTATTTAATAATATTAAAAAAAAATTTTTTTAATAATATCAAAAAATATATAAATAAATTTTTATTTTATCATATTTATTTAAAACCTATATTCTTTATATTAGTAACAACGCAAGTATATTCAATTAAATCATCATTTTTTTCTTTAAAAAATTCTCTAAATATATTTCCTTATAGTTAATATTCAATCACCTATTTTCCGTCTGTATAGAATTTAATATTTTATAGAAGTTTATCTTTATTATTTTTCAAAAATACACTAGTAGGACAATAAATTTTATCATATATAATATTTTATTCTTAATTTTAAATAGATTTTTATTCACTATCTTATTAATTTTTGATATTTTTTTCTTCTAGTTAAGCCAATATTTTTTATTAATCGATTTTTTTATTATTTTTAAATATAAAAGGTTTAGAAACAAATTATAAAACATCCTAATATCGCTAATTAAACCAATTTTTTTTCTAAATATTTTAAGCTAAAACAATTTAATTATTATTATTATTATTTTAAATAAGGCCCTCTCCGATTTATTAAAAAGAACCATTTTATTAATAAATTTAAGTAGAAGATGATAATAAAATAAGAGAAATACAGAAAATAATAGCAATATTCCATTTAGAAAAAGAATTAAAATTTCCTATTTTATTAATTCGGTTTGTTTAATATTCAAAAGCTTCATCTGCTGTAGTACTTTCATTATAATTTTGTTAATTTTCAATAAAATATTTATCATTATTTATCTAAAACTATTATTATTATTATATTTATTAATTTTATATTTAATATTATTCTGAAAAAAGGAAATCTTCTTCAAATTATTTTTAGCATTTTTAGCAAATTTAAGATTTTAGTATTTATTTTAAATTTTCATTTTATTTTTGTAAATCAAGAATCTATAAATCTTTATTTATTTCCAATTCGTGAATTTTTTATTTCATTTTTTCATTCTCCAGTTTTTTATTGTCCCTAGATCTTTAAGCAGAAATTCTGTTTTTTATTTTCTGGATTATTTTTTTATCAGTAATACCATTAAATTAATCTTCTAAATTTTATTCTTATTATAAATTCTCTTATTCTTAAATAATAGGACTAGTGTTTAAAGGAACATATTCTATACCAGCGTTTTAACAAATTTTACGTTTTCTATTTTCAACTTTTTCACGTATTTTTTATTTATTTATATATTTTGTTTATGGAGTTCGTCTTTTTTTTCTATCAGGTTCAGTTGGAAAAGATGTTTACTCAATTAATGATTGACTTAATTTCATATTTGTAGTTTATAATAAAGGATTTTCGTAAAAACATGAATATAATTAGGTATTTTCAAATTCTTCTTCAAATAATTTGATAATAGGTTTTTCTTTCATATTTTTTTTAATAATTAATTATTAATATTATTTATTTTATTGTAATTGTTATTTTTTTTTTCTAGTTTATTTTTTTTAAAGATTTTTTGGTTTTAAAAAGAATAATTCTTTTTTTTATTTTATTATATATAATATGTAAATATATATATGTTTAAATAATATATGTATATATGTATATATGTATTTAATATATTAATTTACATATATATATATACATATATATTTATATATATCATAATTATTTTTTATAAAATTTAATTTTTTTCAATTTGTTTATTTTATTTTATTTATTTATTAATTTTTTTTTTAAATTAGATATAAAATTAAATTTTTTCTTATCAAAAAAAAAATTATTAATTTAATTTACTAATAAATTAATAAAATAAAAAATTTAAATTGAAATAATAATTACATAAAATATTAATTTTATAATAAATAAATTTTTCTAGTAAAATCTTATATACAATCAAAAAAAAAATATGCATAAAAAAATATTTAAATAAAAATAATTTTAACCTTAAATTAATATACTTGTTTTATTAATATAAATAATATAAAAATTAATCTTCCATTTTTATTAAAAAAAACATATATAAATATACTCATTATTTAGCACAATTAATAGCAAACTAAATTATTTTTCCGAAATCTTCTGCTGCAAAAAATCCACTTCCAGTTTTTTTAATTGCTAATACTTTATTATTTACTACATCAACTACAATAATATATTTATTATCAACCGAATAAAATTCTTCTACACTTAAATCTCTTACCAACGTTCTCTCAATTTAACCCACAAGTACTAACATAGGCAATTACAAATCTTTTATTATACAAATTTTCTGAAATTTTTCTTCCACAAAAATAATATCATCTTCATTTGTTAAATTATTATGAAAAACAGTAACTTAAGGTAAAACAAGGTCATCTAATGCAGCTTATATAGAAATACAAACAAAATCAATGTATGAAATTTCGACATTTTCTACAAAGAAAACATCAATATTTAATACCCAGCATTTTTTCCCTTCCTAAATACATAAAGGACTTTTTTTAATATTTGCAATATAATATTTATTTAAAATAGATTCCATATATAATAAAGTATTCTTATCACTATTTATGTTTTCTTCTAAATCTTTTGTTTTTTCATTTCTTTATGCACTTTCTAGTTTTAAATTTATTTTCCCTTCCTTTTATTCAGTATCACCAATCTCAAGTTTTATTCCAGTATATATAGTTAATGAATTATCACATAATTATAAAAATGATGAACCATTAGCTTGACCTAAAATTCCTTTTTTTAATATATATTCTCTAGTCTAGGTATTTTTTCGACCGTCGGCTCGAAAATTATTTTATATTCCGTCACGAATGTATTTTATTTAGCCTTCACTTGAACGGATTTTCATATATATATTTTATTAATTTTATAAAATTTAAATTTATATTTTTAGTATAAAATATATATATTTTTTTAGATATTTATTTATTTTTAATTTTTTTTTATATTTTTTTTTCAGTTTTTTTTTTATGAATGTAAACTCACTTAAGAAGATAAACTTTTAAAAGAAAGAGAATTTTTAGAAAGAAGATTATCATCATTTTCATTATCTATTTTTTATATTTTTTCTACTTATTCATCTTTTTTTATTATTTTTATATCGTTTTTTTATTTTAATTATGCATCTTATTTCTTTTTTATATTTTATTGGGCAAGTTCTTTTTGTTTTAATTTTTTTTATAAATAAGACGAATTTCTACAATTAGGGGAATTAATACTAAATTAAGTGCCATTGTTTTAGTTTTATTTTATTTTTTCATCTACATTTTATAAATTATTATCTTTTAAAGGAATTAGATATTTATAAAAATCGTCTTATTCTTATTAAGATTTATATTATTTATTACAAACAATTTATTATTAATAGTCATTTTTATAATTATTTTTTTCTAATTAGATGCTAGTTTTATTTTATTATTAATCATTATTATACTTTTCTTATATTTATTAATTATCATAATTTAATTCTTGTTATTAAACAAGAGAATTTTAATATAAAAGTTACTAACTAATTTATTTATCTAATTATTATTATTATATTTATTAATTTTAATTTAATTATATTTATTGTAACTAAAATATTCTTATTCTATTTATTATTAATTAGAATATTTTCTATTTTATTATTTATTATTATTATTTTCTTATTTAGAATTTTATTTTACTAATAATTAATATTATTGATTTATTTAAATTATAAAATGTTATTATTTTATTATTATATATTATTTTTTTAATATTATTAGTCTTGGTATTTTTATTAAAAATCAAAATTATTATCTTATTATTAAAGAATTTATTATTATCTTTATAGAATTTCCTCTTGTTTTTTTTTTATATTTTCAACTTCTTTGACTTCATTTTATATTCTTTCCATTTCTTTTTAAATATTATTTTCTAAATTTTTTTTCTTTAAAAGAGTCAGTTTTTCCTCTAAAAGTAAAATTTCTTTTTAATATTCTTTTATTTTTAAATCTGCTTCTCTATTTTATAAATAAGTCAGTTCTTCTTTAAAACATATTTTTTTCTAAGGTGAAAAATAAACATTAAACTTAATATTATTATTTTCTTTTTATTTCTTTTCTATCATTATTTACATTAAAAAAAATATAGTTTTTAAATAAAAATCTTTATTTTTGCTTTATTTAAGTTTTTTTTTAAATTCATCTTTTTTCCCGAATTTATTTTCGAAAATATTTTTTATTTCATGATTATTATAGATTAATTATACTAAATTATATAATTCCTTATTTTCTTTTTATTATTCAATATCCATATTTTCTTATTATTGATATTTTACATTTTTTTATTTATTATAATATTATGTTTATTATGTTTTATAATTTTGTATTGAATCTATTTTTTTCTAATATATTTTAAAATTTTTACTTTAGATTATATTAATTTTTTATTTTACATTTATATAATTTAAATCCTATTTAAATTATTTTAAATCAGTTTTTGTTTACTCTGTAAAATTCGTTAAACTTTATTTTTAAGAAAAAGGTGATAAATATTTCATTAATTTTTGTTTTTTTATTTTTAAGTTATTGAAAAAGAAAAAAAAAGAAAAAAACATATAAAAAAATAAATTTATTTAAATAAATAAATTAATTAACTTCAATTTTTTTTAACTAATAATTTATTTTTTACAACAATAAAAAAATACAAAATAAATCATTTTTTATTTTTTAAAGTAATACTAAACATATTTACTTTTTATATACTATTATCTTAACTTGGTTAATAGTTTGTTTTCGTTAAATTCATATAGTTTTCAAACTCACTCAAATCTTTTTAAAAATTTTGAATTTTTAGTTATTATTTATTAGGGGTTGGTTAAAAACTCTTTACATAATTAATTTTATCGTTTGAACATTTTGTTTATTATTATATAATATTAATTTCTTCCTCATTTTAATTATTTAGTCTTAGTAAAGAAGCCTTCTTTACAAAAGAATCTCTTGTATTCAAATATTTCATTTTATTAGCTAAATATTAATCTTTATAAAAAAAAAACAAGTTAATTAGGTAATTCTATTTTATTTATTTTTTTAAAAATACCCATTTCTAATATATATAATCCACAATCATTAAACATATCCTAAGAAGCCCCTCCGAAAATAAAAATTCTTTAATCTGTTTAAGTATATGCATGTGAGAATCTCTCGAAATTTGAGTTACCACTAACTGAAGCACAAATCCAATTCATAGTAAACATTTATAATACATAAACATCTTTCAAAACATACTCTTTTTACCTAATATCGTCAGTTCTTCCTGAATGTATAATTAAGCAATTCAAATCTTAATTATATACTTAACTATGTTAATATCTATTACAAGGAGGAGTTCCTAAAGTTTTTGCTTATATCCATTCTAAAGGATGATCTTTATCATCTATTTTATTATTTTTCACAATATATAAATAATAAGAAACCTAATTTCAATATATATAATTCCGAACGAGCTTAATTATTTTAAAGTTTTCCTCCAAAACAATATATACCTTCTATTTTTATCTATTTATTTTTGTTATATAAATAAAAAAATTTCATATATTATAAAATTATAAAAAAATAAATACATTTTATATATTAAACCCTTAAATTTTCTTTGTAACATTTTCTTTGGATTTATTATTTTTTTAAAAAACTGGAGTAAGTTAATGAAAGCAAATCCCAGTCTCTTAATTTTTCACCTAAACACTTTTCCATCTAAGTTTTTCTTAAAAAAAAAAATATATATATATAAAATAACAAAATCAAAAAAATACCTAAATTAATCATAGATAATTAATTAATAACCTTTTCACCTTAAGAAATACCACCATATGCATAAAAATGATTCCCAACTAAACAAAATCCGAAATTCCTTCTAGTTTCTGGAATTTCCCCATTACATTTAATTAATTACCATTCAAAATTATCTAAATTAAGCATCCATAAATCATTAAAAAAATTTCTTTATTTTCTGTTTTTGCAAAAAACTTCCGCTCCTCCAAAGACTACCATATAGTTTTTATAAACTACAGCCCCATGTCCGAATCTAATAACAGGTTTTAGAGACCCAAAAGTCTTTTGAATAGTCCATGAGTGATTTTTCATTGAATAAATATTTACGAAAATATTATTTTATTCTACACCTTAAATAGAAAATCCTCCAAAAAGAATTAAGTTTTTTTTATATTCAATTAAACTACCACTTTCGTTAAATGAAGGCTTTCCTATTTCCGTAGATAATTCAGCTTATTCAAAATAAAAATTATAATTATTTAGACCTATATTGTCTATTTTTTATTGTTGTTCTTCCTGTTTTTTTTCTTGGTTGATTAAATTTTTTATATTTTCGTCTATTTTTTAGTATATTTTTGTTTTTCTGGATAGTTTTTCCTCTATACTGGTTTTTTTTAGTGAGTTTTTATAAAAATTCCTATATGATAATGTTTTTTCTTTGTTTAAATCTTTTTTTATTCTACTCATTTCTACACTTTTTTATTTTAAATAATTTTTTATATCACTTTCTGGATTTATAGGTTAAAAAAAATCTATAGACTATTTTAAAGATTTTTTTTTTTATTAATTTTTCTTTAATTCTTTTTATGTTATATAATAGTTCTCAAAAGAACTTCTTTATTATAATGAATATACATTATTATGGTTTTATTTTTTATTTTTTATTATTTAATATATATGTAGATGATTATCTAATTTTATAGGATTTTCTTTATATAAATATATATATATATATATAAGTGTTAAATTAGAAATATATTTTTTAAATATTTACTATTTATTATACTTTCATAAAATTTTGTAGTGTTCATTAATTAATTTTATTTTATTTTTTAATAGAAAAAATAAAAAAAAATATATAAAATAATATTTTTACAAATAAAATTAAAAAAAATAAAAAAATATTTCAGTTTTTTGAATTATTATTTTAAATTAAAAATTTCTAAAGTTATTCTTTTCCAAAAAAAATGAAAATTAAATGTTCAATTTAACTAATAATTTTACCTTTATCGCATCTTTATATCCACACATTAAATTCTAAAAATGAAAAATCACCTTTTTAATCTTAAAAAAAGTACTTTAAATTATTCCTAATTATATTTTTATTAAAAACATTATTAAAAATCATACTAATTAAAATCAAAAAAGCACATTTTAACGTCTGAGCTTTTTCCTAATTAACTCCTTTAAAAAATGCCTCCCTAAAAACTTAATAAAGTACAATTCTAGCCGGCACTTTGATTTATTCGAATTCATTTTCGATTAATTTTTCTGTAATAATTTTAGCCACAGAGCTTTATTTAATATCTAATTCATGATCAATTCCAAAATAGTATAAATTAAGCTTTACTTACCACTATTCTATATCATAATTTATTTTTCCCAAAAGCAATTAATATGAAGACGACTAAAGGAACTCATCGAAAAACTCCAAATTGAAAATATTAATTTTATTTTATAATGAATTAGCTAATTCAGTAGCTTTAAAAAGTATTAATTTACTCAAAATATAATTAACAAGACATTATGTATTACTTTAAAGTTTAAGTTCATCCAAGCAATTAATAGTATCAATAATAATATTGTAAATACTAATCTAGTAGAAATATTCTTGAATAAAATTCTCGAATTTGTTTTCTGATTTTTAAATTATTTCTTTTTTTATTTACAAACCTACTTCATGTTCTATTATTAAGGTTAAATTATAATCTATTTATATATTATCAACCGGTATTTTTTCCTAAAATTAAATATTTTATACTTCTAAATCTTCAGGATTTAAATCACAATATAAAACAGAACTATTGTTTTCATATATACTCTAAGTATTCGACTTTTTGTAAAATGTAGATATTGAAGGTGTTTTTTCATCTAAAAAATTACAAACTTTAGATTAAGGAAGCATGTATCCATTTTGGAATGCTTTAGGACCTTTATTTTTAATATTTGTAATTAAATTAAATTAGTTATTAGAATATTATTAAGTATTTATTATATAATATGTTTCTTGGTTTATTGAAAGTTCGTCATATTCATATTCTTCTTGTAATAATTCGATTTTTTATTCTTTTTTAATTTCTTCTTAAGTATCTAATTATGATTTTTCTAAAATATTATTTAAATTACTTTTTAAATCAATATTTAAAGACGAAACATTATAATTCAAACTACATGTATTATTATTTTTATTATTTAAATTAAGTATTTAATTTTTATTCTTTTCTTCATCTACTTCTTTTTTATCTCTTTAATTTTTTTATATTTCCTCCTATTTTTATTATTAATCCTATATTTAAAAAGTAATTTATTTATTTTCAAGTTAGCTGTATATTTCAATTGATTTTTACACATCTTCTTTCGAAATAAACTTCCTTAAAATTTTCTATTAAAATAAATCCTTTAAACTTATTCTCTTTTCAGTATCTATAATGAATATTTTCTAAAACAAAATAATTAAACCATTTGAAATTGTTATTTTATTCCCACTTTTTATACACTAATAAGGATTAAAACTCTAATTACATTTTATTTTTATATCTTCTAAAATTTTTCTTCCTTTAAATGGATATTCCTAAAATAATATAAAAAAAAAAACAGCTCCAAGAGACCATAAATCTGCTTTATAATCATATTTTTACCTCATTAAAATTTCCGGTGCCATAAAATTTGGAGTTCCGCAATAAGAAAACGCCATATTCTATTATTTTGAAAGCCCGAAATCTGCAATTTTAAAAACACCGTTATTAACAAAAATATTCGAAGGCTTTAAATCTCTATGTAGTATGCAATTTTAATGTATGTGGCGGAATCCTAGTAATATCTAAGTGAAAATTTCAATACATTAATCCTCATAAGGTTTTTTTTTTATTATAAAATTAAATAAAGTACCCTCATTACAATATTCCATTACTATAAATAAAGCAAAGGAATTTTCAAAAGCTTCATAAAATTAAACTATGTTTTAATGGTTAATATTTTTCATTATTTATACTTCGTTATTAACATATTTTTGTAAGTTTTTTTCTTTAATTTATTATTTATCGAGTACTTTTATAGCGTATATTTTCTTATTCTTTTCTGCTTTATATACTTAACCGTAGGAACCTTTTCCAATTATTTCTTGAAGTTTATAATCTTTTATTTTTGTTAAACGACTTAAATAAGTATTATTTTCCATTTTATTTTATTTTTTATTTTGTTTGAATATTTTTTTTGTTTTATATAATTTTTAATTTTAAAGTATAAACAAATTTATTCATTTTTTAATATCAAAAATAAATACATTTTTTTATTTTTTTATTTTTTTTTATTTCATTCTGCATATTTATAATATTATTTAATTGCTATATCTACTTCTTCAATAATTTTACTTTAATTGTCTTTTCTAATTTTTCTTCTGTATAAAAATAAAGCAAAAATAAACACAATTATAAATAAAAACAAAATAACTAAAATAACAACCAAATATTCCATATCATAACTTTATGATCCCCATATTTCTAATTCATCCTCTTCTTTTTTTACATAATCTTTACAAATTTCAATATTTTCACTTTCGAAAATTCCCAAACAAATAAATTGTTTCACACTTTCTTATTTATTAAAATTTCCCTATAAAAATAAAAATTAACTAAAAATTAAAATTAAAAATAAAAATAACATTATAAGATTCTCCATTAACAAATAATTAAGGATAGTATTTTAAACCTTAAATCTATTATAAATTCAATTCATTTTAAAGTATCAAATTATCATCTACATCCTAATTAGGATACCTAGATTTCGAAATCCAGCTGCTATCAATACATTTATCAATAAGATTATTTATTTTCTCTTAATTTTCTTGTATACCCTAGTTATAGCACAATAAATTATAATTTCCTTAATTTAAACATTGAAAAAAATTCACTAAGTAATCAATATATAGTTTAATAGGAAGTTATTTATTAACACAAATCTAATACAAACTTTAATAAACAGAATCTTTTCCAGCTAAAAAACCATCCCCATCAGGATCTTAATTGCAATATTTTCCATTAGATAGGCAATTTTAAGAAACAAAATTTTCTTAATAAAATGCATAATGTATTTCAAAAACAATATTATTATTGTCTAAAAGTTATTTTAAAAACGAGACATAAGTTAAAATAAAATTTTAGCTTTATTTATCTAAAGGTACCATCCAAAACTATAATATTGCAGTACTTTATTCTTAAGGCTATATTATATAAATATATATATATAAATAAATATATATATATATATATTATATAAATATATATATATAAATAATATATTTTTTTTTTTATATATATATATATATACTTATAATATTTTTTTTTAATTTTTTTTCATTTACTTTGTTAAATAAAATAGATATATACACGTTTAAATCTTTTTCTTTTTTTTCATATAATTTTTTTATATAATCTCCATTTTATTTATTTATGATTATTACTGGAATTTATAAATGAACTCCTGATAATTCATCTTGTATTATTTTATTTTCATAATTATCAAAATCATCATCTATTATAATTAACATTTTCCCATTTGATTTTTGTGCTACTTCTCCTTTTTTTAAATAGGAGCAGTCACCTTTTTCTGCTAAATATATAGGAAAACCATATTATTCATAATATTTTTAATTAAAAAGTATCACATTATTACATGCAGTTAAATTTAATTATTTCATTTAATTTAAAATATATAATTTGCTGTATTTTTAATCTTATTTCATATCTGTAATATCCAATGCGTATTCTATTTTTCCCGTGAGTTTTTTTCCGAAAGGAAAAGTTCCGATATTCGCAAGAGTAGCTTATATATCTAAAATTTTTATAGTTTTTTTTTTTATTATTATTAACATGTATTTTTTTTTACAATATGGTTTCTTATTAATTAACGGAGATGTAATTACTAAATAAGTTTCTTTAGCTTAAATAATAGAAATAGTAAAAAAAAACAAATATTGAATTAATTTCATGTATTTAAAATATAATATTTATTATCTAATGTATTAGATAAGTAAAAAAATTTAAATTATTTTAAAGCCTTAAAATAATATATTTTATATTAAATAAAAAATATAAGTAAATCTAAATATATTAAACGAGATATAAAAATAAAAATATATTGTATAATCAAAAAAAAAAAAAAAAAATTAATAAAAATTTAAATCATGATTTAACAATATGTGGCTTAAAAATCATCGTTTATATTTTAATAAAAAGATCAGGTGAAAATAAAATTAGTCTTTTGTATTTTTTAAAATGCACCTTTGTTATTAAAAAGTAATAATTTATTGGATTAAAAGATATAAAAAAAATATATATATAAAAAATTAATTTTATATTTTAACAAATAAAAATTATTGTATATAGTATTAATATAAAAAATAAAAGTAATGTTAAAAAAATATCAAAATATGATTTCAATTAAAAACATTAAAATAAAATAAAATTAAATAATTATAAATAAAAATAATATAAAAAAAATTAAATATAAAAAAATTAATTAATTAAATATATCAAAAATAAAAGATGAAAATTTTAAAACAATAATTATTAGAAATTTCATATATAAATAATTAAAAATTTAAAATTATTAAATAATAAATAATATTTTAAATATATTAAAATTAAATTTATATAAAATAATTATATAAAAAATATTTATTATTATATCTATTATTATTATTATTATTATTATTATTATTTTTATTATTAATATTATTATTATTATTATTTTTATTATTAAAATTTAAATTGATATAAATAAATATATATATATATATATATATATATATATTTTAACATACATATAATTTTTTTTTTTTAAACATTTAAAATTAAAAACTTTTTTATTTTATTTATTTAATTTTATATTAAAAAAATAAAACATATAATAATATTTATACTAATAAATATATTATATTATATATATATTTAGTAATTTAGTATTTTTTATTATTTAATTATTTAATATATTTAATATTTATAATTATCATAGTATTAAATTTTTAGTTTAAATAAAAATAAAATATATTTTTTATAATTTAGTTATCTATAAAATTGTTAATTATAATTTAATTTATTATGTAAATCATATTACTCTATATTTATTATTATCGAAGTTTTTATTCATAACATTCAATAAATTAAATTTTTTTAATTTTATCTCTATGTATTAAGTTTGAATAATTTAAAATTTATTATATATATTTTAAATCGAAATAATAAATAATATTATTTTTATTTTAAAAATTATAAAAATTTTTATTTATTATTTAAATATAAATTATAAATATAAAATCTTGATATATATTTTTTTATAGACGTTATAATTAATTTCCTTTAATTTACATCAATTTATTTTATTCCGTTATAATAAAAAATATACAAAAACTAAAAAATTAATATATATATTACTAAATTAGAAAATTAAAAATAAAAATAAAATTATGAATTTTAAAACTAAAAAATGTTAAAACATAATATAATATTAATATTATCTTTATATAAATATATAAAAGGAATAATATATTTAATATATTTTTATAAATATAATAAAAAATAACTAGTCTAGAACTTATAATTTTTTTTTTAAAATAGAAAATAATAAAAAATATATGGGAAATTGTTAAACTTGTTGTACTTAAAAAGATTAAAACCATGAACTAAAATAATAAGATTAATAAAATAATGAAAATAGTCCAGTTAGATTATCAATAATGAAATTAAAATATAATTCTCCATCATACAAAAAATAAAAAAAATCTTAAAGTTAACTTGTAAATGAATAAAATTCTCCAAAATCAAATAACCATTATAATGCCAAATATGAAGAATTAGAACTTAATAGTGATTAAATTTTAAAAAATTCCAATAAATAATAAATTGTTTCTCAAAATGAAAATATTTTTTAATAAAATAACAATGTTACTAGTATTTAAAATAAAAATATGGAACTCTAAGTAGATCAAGAATATATCAATTAAAGTTAAAAGCATATTAATAACACAGAATCAAATAATGATATTTAAAATAATGAAGAAAATCCGATATTAAAACTAACCATAAGAAAAAGGATTAAACTAGAAACAATAATTTTAGAAAACGGAAATAAATATACAGGAGAATGGCTTAATAAACTAAAAGATGGATTCGGTAAATAAATATGGCAAGACGGTTCTGTTTATGAAGGATATTGGGTCTAGAATAAAATGCATGGACATGGAAAACTTACTCATCCAGACGGAGATTATTATGAAGGAAATTGGAAAAATGATAAAGCTTGTGGAGAAGGTATTTATAAACATAAAGAAGGAGCAATTTTTAGTGGATAATGGAAAAATGATAAATAAGTATTTATTAATATTATAGAAAAAATAAAATTAAAAATAAATATATAATTGTATTAATATAATATAATATAATAAATATATAAATATATATATTTATATATATAAATATATATAATATAATATAAATATTTTTTAATTTATAAAGAATGGTTTTGGTAAAGAAAACTGGCCAAATGGTATTTTTTACGAAGGAAATTATCTAGATGGATAAAAATATGGAAAAGGCATTTTAAAATTTAATGATGGGTCTTCATATGAAGGAGAATTTAAAGACAATAAAATAAATGGATACGGTATATATAATTGGAATGATGGTAGAATATATTCTGGGTTATGGTCTAATAATTAAATGAATGGATAAGGAAAATTAGAATGGGCAGATGGTAAATCATATGATGGAGAGTTTAAAAATGATTTGAAACATGGATAAGGTTTATTTAAATGGCCAGATGGAAGAAAATATTTAGGAGTTTGGGTTAATGGTTAATAAAATGGATAAGGAGTTTATTATTTATCTAATGGAGAATATAAAGTAGGGCTTTGGGAAAATGGAGTTAGAGTTAAATGGTTAAATTCTGAAGAAAGTAATAATAAAAAATAAAATAATAATTGATAAAATATTTATTTATAAAATATTTTGTATAATATAATGTTAAATTAAATAAAAATGAATATATATAAATATATACATATATATTGATAAATATATATATAATATATATATATATATTTATATTTTATAATATTTATGTATTTTTTTTTATTATATTATTAATATTCTTTTATATATTTTATTTTTCTATAAATATGTTTAAAATTATTTTTAATAATTTAAAGTAAATAATACTTTAAAAAGATAATATATACTTAATTAATTTTTTAAGTAATTTATTATTTTTATTTTTATATAATCATATTTTTAATTATTAATCTAATACATATTTATTTTCAATTAATGTATATTTAATAATATACATTTTTTCATTATTATTTATTTATTTAAAAATAGTAAATATTCAAAATATGATTATACATATTTAGTTTCTAATATACTATAAGTAATAATTTTTGTTGTTTTTCTTTTCTATTATAAAATAAATATATTATTTTTTAATAATTTTAATATAAAAAGTGATATATTTTGCCTTAACATTTCTTATTTGTTGCTTTTTATTTTTACATTTAGACATATATTATGAATATAAATTAAATTAGATTAGTTAAGCTTAAATATAATATAAATTAAATAAGTAAAATAAAATTATTGTGATAATATAATTAAATTTTTATATTTAATTATAATTTTTTTCCTTAATAAAAACAAGATTTTTAAATTAATTAATAAATAATAAAGAATATTTTTAAAATAAAAATACTCATTTAATAAATACGAGTTAAAATGCAATTTGTGTATAAAACAAATTTGTCTCAATAAAAATACTAAATTTATAAAATAAATTAAAAATTAAAAATAATATATGAATATAAATATAAACTTAAAATTTAAGTATTAGTTAAATTAAAAATGAAAAATCAAATAAAAAAACAATATTTATTTATCCACATAATAAAATAATAATAATAATTTTACATGTCTTATTTTTACAGTAGAAAAATATAAAGAGAATTTCGAGATTATTTAGGAGTAATTAAAAATGGAAAAAAAATTAAAAAAAGTTTTTTTTTATTTTTCAGAAAGAGATATTTATGAAAGATATTGGAAAGTTAATAAAACATATGGAAAATTAGCACTTATACTTAATAATACGTAAATTACTTATAAAGGAGATTGGGGTTAGTGATAAATTTGAAAAAAACGGATAACTTTTTAATTATAATATAAAACTTTACAATAGAGTTTTAATAATATTGGGTTATGTATGAGACTTAATTTTGTAATGATTTGAAAATTTATTTTTTAATTTTTTAGTAATTAGAAAATGTTTTAAGATTATTTCGAAGATGATTTAGTTTAAATTTAATGAAAATTTTATTGTTAGGATTGAGTTGTTTTTTTAATGATTTTGGAAATAAAATATTAAGAATATAAATGATTTTTTATTTTGTTTTATATATTTTAATACAAAAGTATTATATTAATTAATAGTTTTTTATTTTTAATCAAAAGGTGTTTAATTTTATATATTGAAAATGTTGTTTTTTAGTTATTATTATATTTTAGTTGTATTTTGTATATAAATTTTATTAAGTTTTTTTTGTTTAGTTTTAGTCAAACAAAATATTTAATAATTGAAATTTTTATTATTATATTAAATTTTATTAAATAAAATAATTTAATATTAATCATAAAATAAAAATAAAACTTTTATGTAATAATGTATATTATAAGTTAATGATTTTTTAGATTAATATTTAAATGAAGAAGATTAAAACAAATTAAATTAAACATTAAAATCCACATTAAGATTAAATCCTAACTAAATTAAAAAATACTTCTTTTCAAAAAATATAATATAAAAATTTTATAATTAAAATGAAGGAAATTAATTTTATTAAAAAAATCAAATATAAACGAAATCTGATGTAAAAAAAAAAAAAATATCAAACAAAAAATAATAAAAAATAATATTAAAAATATAGAATTCTAATATAAGTAAAATTTAAACGAGTTTCATATAAAAAAATAATGCAATTGAAAATTCGAAACTCTTTGTTAATAAAATTCCGTTGATTTCTTCAGAAAAAAAACTCAAAAATAGCTCTTTTTTTCTTTCAGTATCTAGAAGTTAAGGAAATTCTCCTTTTTAAAAATCTATAAAATATAAAGTATACTTTTTTTATATTTTTAATAAAAAATTAAAAGATTGAAAATGTTCCTTAAAACTTTTATAATGCTTAATATAATTAAATAGATAAGAAATAAAAATTTCCTTTTATAAAAAATAATAGAAATATATTCCCTTTTCTAGAATTAGACGGATAATAATAAAAAAGAAAAGAAAATATTTGCAAAAAAGATTTTTATGATAAAAATTTTTTAATATAATGTCAAAATATAGTTATTGATTAAAAAAATCATCGATTTTAATCTTGCAATAATTCAAAATTACATTGGATATATTATAATTTAAAAAAAGAAAAACTTTAAAGCGAGAAAATTTAGAATTCAGATTAAAAAAAAAAAAAAAAAAAATTAAATAAATAATAAGAAGATGTTAAATAAGATAAAAAAAGAATAAAAATATTTAAAAAATTCGAAAAAAATTTCAATAATATATACTAAGAAATAATGAACCCTAACCATATAAAAATATGAATAAATCATTTAATAATAAAAAAAAAAAAATACTTATCAAAAGCAATCATAAATAAATAAAAAGTATATAATTATATAAATAAAAATGATATTAATATGCTATATATTTGTCTATATATAAAAATATTTTCTTCAATATAAATTTGCTTATTTAATATCAGTAACTTCACATGTATATTCAATAATATTATCATTTTTTGGCGTAAAAACTTAATTTAATTTATTATCTTTGAGACTATATTAAATATTTTGTTTTCCGTCTATATATAATTTCAAAAACTTAGCCCCTTCATCATTATTGATATTAAATGTTACACTCGCAGGGCAATATATTTTATCATATATATATTCGTTTTATGAAAACTATTAATTTTCTGTATTTTATTCAGATTGTTGAGAATTATGATCTATTAATTTTTAATCTCTTTCCTCATATTATGCTAAGAGTGCTATTTAGTTTTATTTTATTTTATGTGGAATTACCATTTTGAAAGGTTAAGAAATTTATATCAAAGTATCATAATAGCGATTGTTTTTCCAGTTTTCTTTAGGTTTATTTATCAATACAATTGAATTTTGAGAATTTGGGAAATTTTCTATATTCTCAGAAGGTATATATGTAAAAATAAAAATAAAAAGAAATGCAAAGGCAATATTCCATTAAGTAAAATTACGATTTTTAGGCGAAAAATTAACTCTTTTATAAATTCCTTCTTCTTGGAAATCATTTTAATTAAAACTATTTTCATTTTATAAAATATTTTCTTATTAAAATAATTAGTTTTGGCATTTTAGACAATATTTAGGGAAATTTTTTAACTCAAAATTTTCTTGAGAAATTTATTAGTTTATCTATTCAATTTCCTATATACGTTTTTTCATATATTGAATTTCGAGTTTTTTTACGTCTCTTGATCTTTATGCCGAAACTCTGTTTTTTATTTTTTGAAGTTGTTTTTTGTCTATTTAAGTTTCGGAAGAATTATTTGATGAGTTTTTTTAATCGTAAATTTTTTATTTTCGATTTTGGACTTTTTCACGCATTTTTTATTTACTAATTTATTTTCTCGATAGTTTCTCAGATATCTCTAATGTGTTATTTGATGATACTGTGTTTTCAGATTATGTTTATTTCTATGATATATCATATTATTAATCTTAATAAGAATTTTAATTGTCAAATATATATTCGTTGCTAAATAGAAAGTTTGATTATTCGTTAAATATTAAGTTTGAAAATTGATTCATTTTAAATATTTTTTTTATTTTTTTTTTTTAATTCTTTTGTAATTTATAATTTAGTAATTATTACTAATACTTTTGTTTTTATTTTCTATAGTTATATTTATTCTATTTTTTCTTTATTTTATTTTTTTAAATATGGCATAAATTTATTATTTTTTTTAATTATGTATTATAATTTTTTATAAAAAACAATATCAAAACAGATTATTATAAAGTTATAAATATTTAGCACTGAGCGAATCTAATTTATTTTTAAATTCTTTTTACTACGTTAAAAATGTATACTTATTTATAACTTTTATACACGTGTGAAAAACTTTATCAGAATTTATAATATTTTATATATATATTACTTTTTAGCATAATTTATTTTTAAAAACTCAATTCAATTTTATTTTTACTCGATTTTTTTATTTATTTTTTTAACTGTGCTCTAAAAAAAATCAAAAAAAAATAAAAACAAAAGAATATAAGAGTTATTATATATATATATAGAATTTCGCAAATATATAAATATATATATATATAAATACATATATATATATGATTCGTTAGTAATTTTAACTAAATAATTTACAAATTAGTAATTATCATCTTTAGTTTATATTATATTTTAAAATATATAAACAAGAAACATATTTGTATAGATTAAATTTATATATTCATAATATATTTAATTTTAAATATTATTAAAAGTATAAATTATATAAGAAATAATATAATTATAATAAATATTAAAAAATACTTTAAAACTAAAACTATATGCATTTTATATTAATTATATTATTATTTGATATTTTGAATATTAAAATAAACAAAAAATTGTAAACTTTTAACTGAAAAAAAAAAGTAATTGATTTTTATTCAAATTTCTTCATTTTCACTATTTTTTTTTTCAAATTCAATAGCTTCTTCTTATTCTAAATTATTTATATCCGCACTGTTATTTGCCTATTCTTCTTCAATATTTATTTCTTCCTTTAAAGATTCTTTTTTTTTAATTTTTAAATTTCCATTAACTAATCTGCTAAAAAAACAAGTGGTTAGAAACTTCTTTTTTCTTCTTCGCCATATATATATTTCGTTAAATGAATTCTTAATAATTCTTTTTAATCAATTAATTTTTATTATTCAGTTTTTAATTCTTTGGGACTTTTTTCACATCCACTATCATCTTCGCATTCCTCGTCTTCTTATTTGTTTATTAATTCATTAACTTCTTCTTTTATTAATCGTATATCTTGTGTTATTTAATTATATTCTTATTTTTCAACTCCTAATTCATCATAATCTATACTTTCATCATCACTTGAAACATATTCTTTTCCTTATTTTTTTATATATTTTTATCTGATTTATTTTTGTTGTAAATAATGTACCTAATTAATTTTAAAGTTTTATTTTTCTTAATCTTTTTTATTCTAATAAATCAAATACTTTTCTTTTTTTAGAAGATTCTAAATTATGTTAAATTTCATCAGTTTAAACTACTCTTTAAATTAACTTTTAATCGTTAAAACAAATATATACTTTTATTTGTTTTTAAATACTTGAGTTAATGCTGAATATAATTCAGGAAAAACTTAATTTTTTAATATATTTAATGGTAATTTTTGTCTTTTTGCATAAATTTAAAACATTCTTTATAATTCAAGTTATTATTAATTCATTTACTTTTTTAAAATAAAATAAAAAAATATTATTTATATTATTTAATAAAAAAAAATATCATTATAATATTTAAAAAAAAAAATATTATTAAAAAGCTAAAGAATATTTATTCTTATTAATAAATTTTTTACATAGTAAATAGAATTTAAAAAAACATATATATGTAATAAATATATATATTTATATAATTTTATATTATTGTTTCAATTAATTTATTTATATAATTATTTCTAAAAAAATTAAAAAAATGTATTTTCAATAATTATTATTTCCAAAGAAATTACTTTAAGTATTATTATTTATTTAAATTTGTTATTTTTAAGCTGAAATCTAAGTTTTTTATTTCTGTGAAGATACAGTACTATTAGTATTACTAATTTAAAAAAGTCCCTTTTTATTATCAGAAATATTATCATTTTTGTCTTTTTTATTTAATTATTATACCGAAGATAAATTAAATGAGTAAATTGGAAGTTAAGAATGTAAATATTAATTTTTTATTATGATTATGATTATGATTGTGATTATGATTATGATTATGATTATGATTATGATTATGATTATGATTATGATTATGATTATGATTATGATTATG